CATGCTATGCTCCGCAAATGTTGGAGGTTTATTTTAAATATATATCGTAATAGCGCGTAAATTAGCAATGGCAAGTAAATTAAAGAGCATTGAAACAACTAACTTGAAGTAATTAAGCCCAGCAATCGGCAGGAAAACCTTTAAATACTTCGTCGCCAAGTTCATTAGCGGCAATTGTAGTACGTTTATGCTTTTTGCGGGCAATTATATCGTTGTACGTATAATTCGTACTTGGAATGTTTCACGATTAAATCGAATCGTTCCTTTGATGTGAGATACATCTGATAAGCTTCCCTTTTCCATTTCTTCTGCTCATAATAATTACGTTATCTTTAGTAAAATTGTAGGAAATTTCGTTTTTACCTTTTTCGGCTATTCCTGTTTGTTTCACAATAATTATTGCCTTGAAATAATTAATTTTATCTTATAAAACCTTTGTAATAATATTAACTCACTGTCTTTTATATAAGCTAATTGTTCGTTCGTTAGAAAATTTATGGGGCCTGAAAAAAAATTTTTCAAATGTGTTATCGTTGAGTTGAAGATTTTTAAAATTAAATAAAAATATTAACATGCAAAATGTCGGGAAAATATTGATTATATGGTTTAAAAAAAAATTTAGATGAAGGAAAGGATCGTGTTGTCCGTTATAGACCAGTAAAAGAAGAAAAAATGCACTAAAATAAATTTGCTGGAGCAGAAATCAGCTGAAGAGCTTTTCCAAGATATTTCGATAAAAGTCAGGAAACCGAAAGGTACCAAAACACGATGCAGTTGGATAGAATGTCAGGGTTCTGGTCGATAGCGAGATACTTTGATTTGATTGTGTGCATAGAAAGGTAAAACGAGGCGAAGGAAATTGTACACATTGATGAACACGCCCGTTTGTTGTAGGTTGCACCAAAGATGTGAAGTTTTACCGCGCCTTCACATAAATCTTACAGCTGTTTGATCTCAAAAAAAAAAGATCCTTTTTTATTCGTTCTTAAATAGTCTACATGACACGGTCTACAAAATGACCACCAAAGTTACCATTGACAGTTTACGAGGACGACCAGCACACACCTTTAAATAACTTGTGTTCTCAATAATACTCATATAAATACAGCTTGGCTTGTGTAACTTGTAAATTCTCAAGTCGTTCAGATAAAAAAATTGTGGAGAATAAAATATACGGGTGTAAACAGGGTTTTACAAGAATTATATTTTTTTAAGAGATTGCGATCAGAAAAAGAAAATTTAACTGAGATAAAAAAAAGGACAACTTGGTAAATAATTTGTTTATTCTGAAAGTTGACAATTTTTTTTTCATATCAATTGATTTACCACAAATGATTATCATTTATTCGATTCAAAGCTATTTCTATTTTTAAAAAAGAATATTTAAAATAATTTTAATAAAGCCAATAAATAAAAACAATAATTAAACATCTAGAGATTAATATAAATAAAACAAACAAGTATTACTCAAATTAAATTACAGTCTTAAAGCTTTTAATAAAACCCAGAATAAATCAACGCGGAAAATTGATAAGTATGGCAACTAATTTCATGAAAAGCTCCTTACATTTCGCTACAAGCTCCATAATTAAATAAATAACATATTTAAATGCTCCACCAAAAATCTCTTTCCATGTTAAGATCTACAGTATCGCATTAAGCTAATTAGAGTTTGTGTTTAGTGACAAGATGCTGGCGTAACTATACATATAACACAATACTATTTATGATTAGCGCATACATACGGTGTGTGTAAGGAAGCTACTGAGGCGGAAAAGCATGTTGGCCTGGTCTCACGGGATCTGTTACGGTGGAGGGTAGTCAAGAGGGATGCAGCCAAGGGTTTCCGCTCTGTTCCCTCCCTCACGGTCCTGTGATACGCCGTCAGCAGTATGGCTTCCCCTCTGGTTACCATGGTTACCGTGCAACCCACCATTTGCCAGCACAACCATCCCGTATTGCTTTGGCTTTAGCTCTTGCTGTTCGAGGGCAGCGCACCCCATGTCGGCGCCCCTTTCTTCCTATACAAAACCTCTTTGCACCTAGTGTTCGTACACTCCCACAACTGAAGATTTGTATGAACACATATACAAAGGGAAAGCAAGTGAGACAGAAAGAGAATCTCTAGCTTTGCAATTCACCGTACACATTTTCCCGGACTGCGTACCACCAGCTACGGCCATGTTGAATTCAATATCGGCATACTTCGCATTCCACGGACGTTTTTTTGACCGCACGTCGAACGATCTCAACTAATGGTTGCTGAAGCTACTGCTAGCAACCTGGAATGTACAATTTTTCCTCATATCACACAAGCTTGGATTTTTTTATAGGTCTTTTTCATATAATAATAAACCTGAATTGAACATTCAACTGTTTAGACTGAATTGTTAATTTATTGATGTTGGTAGTGTTTAGTTGAAGAAGATTTTAATGTCATACAAATAGGGGTAATTTGAATAATGTTAAAAATGTCTCAACATAATTAATATCCATTTTTTAAATATTTAAATAAGCAAGCAATGATCACAACAAATAAATTGACGTTAAATAAATAATAATTCATCACATTTTGTTTTACTTCCATTAAAATTCATTTACTCCAAAAAAAGTTTCTTCATATTATTTTTCGATAACAATAATTCTTTTCATGACCAATAAAAAATTGATTGGACAATATTTATTTAAAAATCTCAGAACGATTGAGATTCATTTGTTATTTATTCCTGCTCTAAAAATGTAGATCCAATGATTTTAATAGCTAATGGAATAGATAGAAAATCGTAAAATCTACAGAAAACAACCTCACCCAACTCGAATTGAAGCTGATATGCACTTTTTATTGACATTTCATTTAACTCTAGAGGCAGTTTCTTACGATATAAGTGGAGATATCGAAGATAAAAGTAGTTGAATAATAGCTGAAAATAATATTCTTTTAAAATTAATAGTAAATATGAGAATGGAAATAATTAGATCTTGAGTGATATTTTTAGAGCATGAAAAATTATATTGGAAGTAAATAAATTCGTCTACATGCTCAGTCATTGATTTTATGATAAAGTTGTATATATTCTTAGGTTGCTTTGGGACACATATATTTTTGTGAAGATTAGAACCCTTATAGATTCCAACTGTTTTATTGCATCTGTTAGTCAGTATGTCACACGCTGTTCCAATTTTTCAGTCATTCACAAAATCGGTGTTGGTCTATAAATAATTTACGCTTGCGTAAAAATATCTATTTTGAAAATAACAAATATTAGTTTTTTTTAAGCATTACGTCAATTATCGTGACATAAATGATGTTTATTATGCAATAATCCAATTAAATGGAAGCTCATAAGTGATTATATTTCATCATTTATTACATCAACTTCATAAACATCTTTTTTTTCTATTTTTTTATTTATTTACATGAGTTCTAAATATTTCATTGACTCTACAAAGAAACACCAATCATTTTTTATCCTCAATTAATTATTATTTTTAATTATTTCTGGACACTCATGCAGTAATTTTAGCTTTCATTGTTTTTAATTATTGAAGTGATTGAAAAGTTAATTATGTAAGACAAAAAAGTATTCTGCAATGTGGTTGAATGATAATAAATATTCAGACCTATTGGTAGAACAAAAAAATTTTAAACTTTTTATTAACTTACGTTCAATCATCACCATTGTATAGCTACATTGAAGCTTAACGACAGCTTTATAATAAGTTTCTGAACACTTACTTTATAAAGACTTCTTTGTACCTAATATTTTTAGCAGCAATAAAAATTCAAGCCGTTTGCAGTGATATGACTTTGACGCATACTCGACAGTTTTATGGAGAATGAGGCTCACAATGTTGCTTTCTTGTATACGAGTGTTAAAAACCTCATTTAAACTCTATGAGTCGTCATAACATACAAAATCATTTCTGTTATTAAATAAAGAGAAAAATAAAATAATTATTTTAAAAAATAGAGGTATTTAATATAATTCGAACTAGAATGAAATGTTTTTTTTTTTTATTTTACGTAGAATTTGAACAATGCAAGAAAGTATTTTCATCTTTTTACCCGCCACTGTGTGATATCATCTTGGTTGAAAGAGAGAAGTCTGAGAGGAGATAGAGGAGAAACCGGTTTTAGTGAAGAAGAATGAAACGGGCGTTAACTCTGCCACGAAAGCGAAATGGCGCGGATCTTTCTTTTTATTCTTTCGTTCTTATTCTTTTAAGAAAATTACTATTTTAGATGAAACTAAATGAAAACAAAAAAATTCAACATCTACAATAATAAAATAAACCAGTACACTTTTTTTTAATTTCACCTTAATGTTTAACTCGCCAACTTTTGTTCTCTTGATATTTCATTTTTTTAAATCATCATTAAATAAATTACCACAGTTTTTATCACAATCATTTTTCGTACATATAAAAGTAAATACATGAAAATTTTTTACCTGAGTCACATGATGACAGTCCGCAGCACGTCAACAGCTACCTAAACATCATAAAAAAGTCAAGACCTTTCTGTGGTGGTCACCGACTCATTCGTTTATGACTCCGGAATCCCTCAGTAAAACTCAGAGAAAGTTGCGTAGGACTGTAAGAATATTTTAAAAAGGGTTTGCTAAATACTGGGAAAATAATAGGTAACTTTTTTAGGGAACAACTTTCTTTTTTCTTTCTATCATTTTCTTTGTACAGATCAGGGGTAGTCCTGCATTTCTAACCCCTGCAATAAAAGCTGTTGAAGTTACCTTGTTGTTTAGGAGAAAGTTTGACGAAAGAGAGAGAGTTGAAATTTGTGACACCGATGGGAAGGGTGCAGAGCATCAGGGTAAGAAAAAATGTGCATCAGGCCTGCGAAGAATTTCTCCTTCTTTCTAATACCAAAAAAATTTCCTTGAAACACATTTTATGATGTTTTAACAGTAAACATTCGAAGAACGAGGAAGATAAAAAAATACTAGTGTTAAGCATAACAATTTTCTGACCAAAAGTAATAGCTGAAAATTTTCTTCCAGGTCCAAATGGATGTCCAAGACGCAGAGGTCGACAAACATACACACGGTTTCAGACTCTGGAACTGGAAAAAGAATTTCACTTTAACCATTACCTGACGAGACGACGACGAATAGAAATAGCACATGCACTTTGTCTCACAGAACGACAGATAAAAATATGGTTTCAGAATCGACGAATGAAATTGAAGAAGGAACTGAGGGCGGTGAAGGAGATCAACGAACAAGCAAGACGGGAACGTGAAGAGCAGGACATGATGAAGAAACAACAAGCGGAAAAACAGGCCAAGATGCAGGAGCAACAGAATGCTATTCAGCATCAACAGCATCAAATAACTGGATTAGATAAGACGCAGAATGATATTCTTAAAGCAGTGAGCAAGGTGCCGACATAGGTGATAACGACTATATTATTATGTAGTTAAAGCAGCATTAATTTTTTCAATCGTGCAAGACAACAAATATTATTCTGTAAATGAAAAAAAAAGGAACCTACCCGCTAAATTAGGCAAAGCAATCCCTAACTACTTACGTACTTACCTGGTTGTCTGAGACAGATATATACGAAGGCAACCATGTCTGACTGATTCTTAGAGTGTATTTTTTAAGGAAAAACGTAAAAAAAATAATAGGAAAGACGATGATCTATAAAAGTATTGCTGAAATCGACAAAAATGAAAGAAGAGAGAGAGAAGGAGTCGAAGAGAGAATAAACATATTCCAATGCATGAGATATTTGATGCTGGATATACTCTTTGCACTGTTGTACATAAAAAACCCAAGCCAATCCGTCAAGTTTTACAGCATCATCATCATGAGGACAAACGTACTTTATTCAAGCACTTCGATCCGTACTCGTTTATTGGACTCTGCTGATCATCATCATCATCATCACCATTCCAAATGTCTCTGGAATATTTCTATTACCATCTGAGTAGCTTTCAGCATACATAATGTCAATTTGCTCGCAATTGGTTGCATCAAAACTCCCACAACAGTAATTGAATGGCCGGTATATGCTCAAGTGTGATGTTGTTTTCGTATAAAACAAGCATCAATGTGCTTAGTATGGATCTAAGAGTATAGTAGGTCGCCAAACGATCAGTCCAGTCATTCAGAGTATGTGTTGTTTCTTTTTTGTATATGGAACTTGTGTGTGCATGAGAGAAGAAAAGACGACAAGAAAAGAAGCAGAACACCAGCAGGAATCTCTTGAAGGCCAGGCCGTATCGATTACGCGCAAATTCTCTGGCTGTATATAAACGTCCACTTTCAAGGTGGGCCGCTTCTTTGATATCCGTTGAATTGACATCGATATCGTCTTGGTATTATTGTGTCTATAGTGCATACAAGTTCACATACACATTTATACGCGTGTTGGAGAATGATGGCTCCTTAGATCTGACAAAAACAGGCCCACTACTGAAAGACATGATTCAAACGAATATTTTTCTGTAATTGTAAACATTTAACGATGGAATAGTAAAAATAATCCCTCCATATACTGAGAAAAAATTATTTTTGAATTCTTAAAAAAATGTTTATCTTTCGTTTTGGATGAAATTTTTGTTTAAATTTTTACCAATTATTTATTTGTTTTTGTTTATTGAAAATGTATATATATATTTTTTAAACAATTTTTGGTAAAATAAATACATTTTTATAATTTTTGTTAGAAATTTTTAGTAAGATACATATATGTAAATGTATATATAAATATATATATATATTTTTTTGAAAATAATTTTTTTCTCAGTGTACAATAATTTTGCAAATTGCCCGTACTAAAATAAAATATTTTTTTGTTTACTAGTTTGTATTTAAAAAAAAAAATTGTTAAATCATTTCCGCGTTGATTTGTTTCTAAGAAAATTGATTTTGTTCAAGTTTTTTTTTATTGAATCGTTGGTAGTTGGACACTATTACTTCCAAGCTCGTCGAATTATAGCTTTATTATCGTTATTCTTTCTTAACCTTCTATAACATTACGTGCAGCGCTTATTTATATTATTACATCAATTAATTAATATAAAATTCGTATAACAATAGCTTCAACCATCATATATCAATGCAAATGATCATTTGGACGTTTTGTTGCTGCTTAAAATAAATCATTGATTGAAAATCAATTAAAATCGTTATCCGGCCGACTTCTTGAATCACAAGTGTATCTTTGAAATAATTAAAAACGATTTATGGTGGATGAAATATTCTTATGCGGTGTTTTAATTGATGTTTCGGTAAAATTTGTTTATTACTACTTTTTATAAGGAAGATTAAATTTGATTACTTCTAATCATTCGTTTTTAATGGCTTTAATTGTTTCATATTCAATTCTACAGTTTTAAGCATACGAAAAATTCTACGAAACGTAACAACGTGCTTTCAAGCGAGAACCATTTATCATCGTGATAAGATAATAGCACATCTCCCAAATGAGTATTTTACTCTTAGTACATAAAATACGTAATTTGATGTCAGGGTAGACTTTTCTAGAGTTATAGAAAACCAGTTATTCGTATTAATTACAAATAAAAAAATTTAAGAAAATCGTAAAGAAATAAAAATAAACAGACGACAAAAATTATGATGAAAATATTCCAAATAGTTATAAATATTTATTTTTTTCGGTATTATATCATGTTGTATTCTACTTCCAATAGAATCGAACCATTTTTGATTGTCCAAATTATTCAATAGTTAAAATACAAAAATTTGTAATAAATAATTCATTAAGGAATTCAGATGTCGATTCAGTTGGATTTAGAAAACATCAGTGATTTAGTGCACCAAGAAAAGTAGTTAATTAATAATTAGATAATTTTCAATAAATTAAAAATATAAAAAAAGATAAATTTTGATTTATTAAAAATTATCCACATCTTCAATTAATTATTTTCTTAGTGTCAGAGACATTTAAAATTACTCTAAAATAGAAAATAAATATTGAAATAACGAGTATGTTATTAAAAAAAAAAAAAAAGTAATTACAATATTCTATGAATAAGTAAAAGATAAAGGCCATTTTATTGCAAAATAAAATCTTCTGAGAGAGGACGTAAAGAATAAATTAAACAAAACCTAGCATTTTTAAATAATAAATAAAAAGTAAAATAGTACAGATGGAGTAAATAAAAATAGAATAATAGTAGTAATACCATTATTAATATTTCCAAACAAAAATAATTTGATCTGTATGAAATGAATAGAATAGTATATATTTAAATTCAGTTTCTCAAATATTCATAACTCATTAATGCTGCGCGTGTGTAACAGTATGGTATACTTATGTAATAAATTTAGTAACATAAATAAGCGTAATCGACGCGTTTGGTACGAGTGAAGATAGTGCAGATAATAAGAAAAAAAAAAAAAATAAGTCAAGAAATATTAAACAAAAAAACACGTAGGATACAAAAATGATCGCTCTCTCGCTTCAAAAGAAATGTCGATTGAAAATTAAAAATAATCACATATTATTCGATACTAAATTAATTATTCAGCTGAGCGCCTACGTATAAATATGAATAATTACAATAGTAATAATTAATTACAACAATAATGATTTAAATAATAAAATTAACACTAATTAATAATAACAATAATTATGATAATATTAATAATAATATTAAAAATAATAAATAATAGTGATAATAATCATAATCATGACAAAAATCTGTTCAACACTGCGGAAAAAATCGGTTACTAAACATAAGAAGTAGATTGAATAATTTTAAAAAAAAAGACATGATTTTTTTTGTTCATTTTTTATTGAAAATTCGAATTGTCAAAAAGTGTGATCGCCTGCGAGACCCACCAGACAGTTTATGTATACGGAAAAACATAATTGATCATCAACAAAACAATGCAATGTAATCAAGAAATGATGATTGACAAAAAAAAGAGGGTTGAGTGGGTTGATATTAGTAGTGTAACTATTTGTAGAAAGCTTTATATAACGAATACTGTATTATAATTCATTATTGTCAGTTACATTTGATGTTATATCGTTAATTAATTAGGAGAAAAAAAAGGAAGGGAAACATACAGGAGAAAAAGAAACAGAGACGTATACATCAAAATGTGTTAATTACGTTCTTTATATATAATATTATATATAGACACGTAATACGTCTAAACGTTTGATTAAGTAGATTGTACAGGGGGAACGAGTTTTTTTTTGTGGAATTAGGTTTTAATTAGTGTTATTAAACAGGGAGATCGTTAAACGACCAAGGCTAACTCGCGGGACACGCTTCGTGGATTTGAATGTTTCTTAAGACTGTTAATTTTTTTTATTTTTATGGTAATTTTATATTAAAAAAAATGTACACATTGAGTGTCCATTTACGCGCGGGTTATTTTGTCTCTGCCGTTAAACGTTATTAAAAAATTATTTATAAAACTAAAATTCACAAGTATTTTTTGTGATACTTCGTGTATGTTAGTGGAGACGAAAATAATTCATTTGAATACTGTTGAGGTGTTATTATTAAATAAATTTGGTTATAAGTAGGACGAGTTAATATTATTTAAATGTTTTTAATTAATTAATTGATTGATAAATTTGTGGTTGAAATATTGAATTTTTGCTCTGATATGCCAAATTTACAAATAATTATCTTGTGTGTTAATAAAGAGTAAGGAAGAACCTGCGCGCAAATTTATTCCTTGGAATTATCAGATTTTGAAAAAAAAAAAAAATGAATAAATAAAATAAAAATATGAAATAAAACAAATAAGTAAGCGGGCACCGTCCACATTCGAGCTTTCTTCCAGCCCGTCTCGCCATATATGCAGTGTACCGTGAAAGCACGATTATTTGCTTTAGGTCTGTGTAATCATATCATATGACTTTTATCGCGATTCCTCCCCCTTATTTTTTTCGGAATCCCGCCGAATAAAATCTTCTCTTATTGCCCTTGCTCTATCTTAACATTATTGTAAGTGTTGTATATTAATATAGATACACACACGAACCGAATAATTGATGGATTTCAGTGATAGAAGGAGAAAGAAAAATTAAAATGCATTTTAGTATATATTACAAACACGCCCAACTTGCCAAACTCGTAGCTGAGGTTACTAAGTTCACTTGGTACCTACTGCAATGCGAGGAATTCTCTCATTCGAATTAATAGATAATAAAAATAATGGTAATTAAACTTTCCAAGTTCATTATCATAACAATTGAATAAAATATTCCAAAAATTCCAAAACTTTCTTATTGGCTATTAAATACAATTATTTAAAAATGCAACAAAACTTGGAAAAATTTGAGCGAGACATTTGAAAATTTTGATTATAAATAATTTTTGTATGAATTAACAACCGAATCCGTCTTACGGAGCACACAAAAAATGAGTTGAATTGTTTGTTATTAGATTTTCTTTATAATAATATAGATTATTGTTTATTTATGAACTGTTTATTTTACGTATTATTTTTGCGTACTTGTTTTTTGTTAATATATCATTTGTGAAAAGTGCGAGAGAATGTAAAAAATAAAAAACAAAATGTTGATGAATGATTTTTTTTTTTTAAGGCAGCTGTGTAGTGTGAGTATATTTGCTTATAGAATTTTTTCTTTAATGTTTAAAAAGAAAATTCTTAATTATTGTAAACTTGGAAGAATCAGTGATTGTATTTCGTGTACAGAAGAACCAGTGATTGTAAATTTGTCCGCTCTTTCTTGACATTTAAGAGCGAAAAATAATTAACTAATTAATAATTAATAATTATAACAAATTAAGATGGAAAAAAAAACATATACGTAAACAAAACTCGTCACTAACAATTGAAATATTTTTTTTGTTTATTTAATAATAATAGTTGCGAGTATAATTTTATTATCATTGATCTTGATCACTGTTTTTAAAATTATACGAAACACTTTCATCGTTTCTTGCCAATTTTATTTTCGTTGTAATATATGTTCATTATTTTTCATTTTATTTTTTTTTTATATAAATTTAATTCAATCGTCATTCATTTAGAAACACTTAAGTAGCTGCTTCAATTCAAATAAATTATTTAAATTGAAAATCTTGTAGAGAAAAGCGCTTTTTAACTTACAAAATGCTTAGCTTTTCTTTCGGCCGGACTCTAGCAATTTGTTATAATAATAAATAGAAAACCTTAAATGAAGGTTGTATAATAAGCATTATTAATTTTTTAATTGTTTTATATTTTTAAAAATGTTTTTCTCATATATTGAAATGTGAGCAGCTCAATGAATATTCGATTGTGAATTTTGCAGTGAAAATTTGAATTACAAGTCTATGGGATTCCAATAAAAATATCAATAAATAACCAGTATCTATCTTAATCGAACTCCTTTATTATACAATTCTTAAATAAACTATTTAATTTAATAATCAGTTCACAATTGATCACATACACCATCAACTTATTCCTGTCCAGCATGAATTCGTCTTATACGTTGTCTTGCTATTAATTAACTATTTATAAAAGACGAATATTCATGTATTACACCATAACTT